GCCACCAATAAAGTTGCCACAAATAAATATTTGCGGCACCAAAGTTTGTTTTGTAACACAAATTAGTCCATTGACGTATGACTGATGATCGTTTGGATGAAATCGCTGAAAACGGGAAAAATCGTGATCTGTAAAACACTGGTCCCGAGAGAACGAATAAAGTAAAAAAACAGTTCTACAGTCAAAAATTTGAGAAAAAACATCTCTGGTCAAAAAAATGTAAAAAATGCCTCAATACCAATATTTTCCACACTTTCTATCTGGTCAGCTGTAACTCTCGTTCCGGTTATTCATCTACGCATTTGACAATTCCTAAAATGGGACACTGTACCGATGAATTCCACCCCCGTTTCGTAGCGATTCTGTCGTCTGTCTTTACAGCTCAGGGAGTAGTTGCTCGAGTAGCTGGAAATAGCTCTGGATCCGGGAGATGGGAAGGAGTGCTTTTAATCCCCAGTGGGCCGAGATTACTAACACTGCAAAACTTTAACGGGGTACGTGTCCAAAGTTTGAACCAGAAACTGGGGTACTGCATCATAGTGACGCAGTTGTTCCTTAAACCATTAATCATTATTTGACATATTTTGTAACAGCTTTGGCCATTTCGAAATATTCTTTATCTGCATTGAGTCTAATCATCTTCTTGAATTTTAGAATTTCTTTACGGACGAAAAAAAAAGCGAACTTCATGAAGATCCAGATCATGTTCTTTGTATTCGATATTTTCTTTATCTAGCAGTTGTTTCGCCTTAATACAATACGGGCACCTGGCTTTCGTATACATCACTACCGGAAACCTTTTTACTTCCTTCCTGATATTCTCCTCATCCACTCGTGGAATTGTTGACTGCCAATGTCCCATTTCCTAAAAAATGAAAAATTAGGTTCGGCTTTTTTCGAAAAAGTCAGCAGCAGCACGCTCGTTCGTTTGGGATTTCCAGGATGGGATTCCCAGTTCCCGAAAAAATCTGTTTTTGCCAAAAGCCCAAATGATGCCTTTGCGTCTCGAAGAGAGTGATGGGGAGGTGTTTGGCCTCGTTAGACCAAGTTCTGTGATTGACTCACAAATTACTGTACGCAGTTTGCAGGCTACAGATGCCCAGTGGGTCGTAGTGAATCAACCAAAAATCGACAAAAAACCACAAGGCCACAATACCATCGTTTTATAACTACCCATCCCCCCAATAATACTTTAAAATGCGAGCTAAATAAGAAATGTATCACAAAAATAGCAAGTGGTTTTTCAAGTGGCTATAGTGCTGTACAGCAAAAACGCATAAAAAACTCTCACAAAAACTAAATATGAAAAGTATCACAAAAAATTAACATCGTCCGGACTACCAGAGTAAATATCTCATGCCAATGATGTTACCAGAATGCTCCCACATATTGGAAGAATTTATACTCCAGTCAGCTTAGCCTTCAGGTTACTGGAACTGGAACTAACTGGAAATAGGTTTTCCAGTCAGCAGCGATGATATTTGTTCGACGCACGCACACTGCCTCTACGCATATCACCCAACCAGCTACTAATTAATGTACGATGCCTAAACATAAGGCAGGCATGGGCAACCCTTCGCGGCACGCTGACCTGATGATTTACATATTTAAGTTCGCGGGCCACCTTCCAATAAAACTTGGTCAGTGACGCATCAGTCTTACCCGTGCGACCATGTATTTCTGCGCCAAACTTGATGCAGTCAGTATGAGTGGTTGTTGCTTTACAGTTTAACAAGTGCAACTCATGTGCCTGTGTTTTGGTCTTTTTTTGCATGCGGAGAAAAAGGGCTGCAGTGGCGGGCCGTTATTTTCATGCCAATACAGTGGCGTGGCGGAGTACAACCCCCTCCCCCTTCGTCTAGTTAGGTGCCACATTCCGATTGCCCCTGCGGGCCGGAACTGGCCTGCAAGCGGCCGATTGCTCACTTATGTATTAAAGTAATCCCAGGAAAACTAACTAGTTTAATCCAGAAAGACCTCACTCGACGATTTAGTGACGATTCTCTACCACTCCTGAAAAGATTAGCTCTCTGCGCGTACTATAAAAGGCAATTGAATACAGCTACATACCGTCGAGGCCACATGCTTCTGAAATTCCCTCCCCTCCCCCCCCTCCCCCCAGGGAAAAAAACGCATTATCTTCACTACTGTGAGACTTGTGAGAACTTGACGGATTAAATATACACCTCTATAAAAAAGAATTTAAGGAAAATGCGATTTTTTCAATTTATTAATGCCAAATGCGTCAAAACAGCTTGTGGTTGGGGATAACCCCTGAAATTCTCCAACTTCACATCCTGACCCAAACGTTTATTCAGATCACAGGGACATGAAAATTTGACAAACAGTTATCACTAGTTACTCGGATTCAACACATCCACAACAGGAGTATCAAAAAGGCAATGGCACAAACGAATTATCAAAAAGTAGCCAAAATTTAACAGAAATATGACACAACATTGATAAGGTACCTCATTTTGGTGTAAGTATGAGAATATTGGCAATGTTCAACACATAACAAACAGTATCCTGAAACGGCTAAAGCCTTGTCAAGTGTTTCTATGAGCAGAAAAGAATTCTGGCAATTCTTCAACAGACGAGACGAATGTCGGGAGTGCTAGCAGCCAGGTAATGTAGTATTCTTCAGAGTAACTGCAAAAGTAGCCAAGTGCACAGCCAGACAATCCATAGGTGGATCCAGGACGGACTCCTAGGAGAGGGGAGCGACAAGGTGGAGAGAAGAGTCCCCTTCTCAGCCCGGGAGAAAACTAGGAATAGAGTTGTAACACTGTTAATTAGAGTTACTTTAGTTTATGGTAACTTTAGACTTTGGTTTACTTTGGTTTTAACTTTAGACCCGGTTTTTTGCAGCACTAATGCCTGTACGGCTGGAGGAGAGGGGTCGTCCCCTCCCCC